GCGTGCGCATCCCATGCGCATCCCGCCTGCACAGCCGCTGTGCGCACGGGGCTGGCTGCGGGGCCGCGGGCGTCGAGCTGCCTCCTCCTCCTCCTCCTCCCGCGTGGCCACGGGGTGTGCCGGGGCGGTGGTCCCGCGGCGTGAGCGTGGCCCCGGTGTGCATCCCCCGTCGCCAGGCCCGGCGGCACGCAGGAAGGCCGGGGGGGGGTGCGCGGGCGGCCGCAGCCTCGCAGACAAAGGGCTGGAGGAAACGCCGCCGTCCAAGATAAACCGGGGAAGGTGAGGGGGTGCCCTCCCGCCCCGCTCCCACGGCCCTGCCGCGCCGCGCGCCCACGCCTTGAGATGGGCTGGAGGCACCCGGCCCCGGCGCCCCGTTTGCCGGGGGCACCCACCCTGCCGTCACTCACTCAGCACTGGAGTGGGGTGGGGGGCCGGGGGTGTGGGTGGCAGAGTGGGGTGCCACGGCTGCTCCCATCACCAGCCCCGGGGTGGGGACAGCACGGCTGTGGGGGGTGTGAGGGTCCTGGGGGGCACTGTATGGCGAGGGGTCACCCTGCAAGGTCCCCGGGGCCGGGTCTGGACACGCTGCGGCCCCTCTCTCCGCAGGAAGGTGCCCCCCTCGCCCCCTGTTCCCACGCTGCCAGGGCATCCCGGTGCCAGCGCCGGTGCCCACATCCTCGGGAAGCTGGCAGGAAGCCGGGCGCTGCCATCCCACCCGCCCCAGTGCCGCTGCCTCCGCCGGGGCCCGCTTGGTGCCGGCGCGGTGCCGGAGGGCACGTGGGCACAGCATGCTGGCCCGTCAGAACCGTGCGGCATCGTTTAAAGACGATCAGGCGGTGACAAGAATTAAATTGTGTTTTGATTTTCTCATTAGCCTAATCTCCAGCGCGCCTCGTTACGGGGTAATTTCCCCGCGCCGACGTGACAGCTCTTTCCCACCATGACAGCCATATGCCAGCGCGCCCATGCCGCGCGCCGGCGGTCACTGGGGTGCCTGGCAGGGACAGCCGTGTGCCCTGACGGGCCCGGTGGGTGCCCCCAGGGTGGGCTGCGGCGTGGGAGGGGGCCAGGGAGCAGGATGGTGCCGGCTGGGTCCTGGCACGTGTGTCCCTGTGGTGCCCATCCATCCCGCGCCCGCAGAGCGGCGGTGGCAGGTCCCGCTGTGCCGCGGGTTGGCAGCCGAGCGGGGCCCCGCGGTGCGGTGCGGCGCTGCCGGGGATGGAGCCGGGGAGGCTGCGGTGACACCATGCAGGGGGTGCGGGGGTCTGTCCCAGGGCGCACTGGGGGGGTGTCACCGGGCCGGCCCCACGCACCGGGTCCCCGGGTGCTGCCCTGCTCGCCCCGGCAATGGGGTGTGAAGGCGGTGGCGGGCGCGGGCGGCTCATTTGTCTCTGTCAGGAGCCGGCGCGGGAGACGGTGCCGCCGGAGCGTGGCGGGGACAGAGCAGCCGGGGTGCTCAGCACTGCCGGGGTGCTCAGCACTGCCGGGGTGCTCAGTGCTGTTGGGGTGCTCAGCACTGCCGGGGTGCTCAGCACTGCCAGGGTGCTCAGCACTGCCAGGGTGCTCAGTGCTGTTGGGGTGCTCAGTGCTGTTGGGGTGCTCAGCACTGCCAGGGTGCTCAGCGCTGTTGGGGTGCTCAGAACTGCCGGGGTGCTCAGCACTGCCGGGGTGCTCAGCGCTGCTGGGGTGCTCAGCACTGCCGGGGTGCTCAGCACTGCTGGGGTGCTCAGTGCTGTTGGGGTGCTCAGCACTGCCAGGGTGCTCAGCACTGCTGGGGTGCTCAGCACTGCCGGGGTGCTCAGCGCTGCTGGGGTGCTCAGCACTGCCGGGGTGCTCAGTGCTGTTGGGGTGCTCAGCGCTGCCGGGGTGCTCAGCGCTGCTGGGGTGCTCAGCGCTGCTGGGGTGCTCAGCACTGCCGGGGTGCTCAGCACTGCCGGGGTGCTCAGCACCGCTTGCCTGTGCCATGCTGCCCAGATGGCACTGGGGGGCGGGGGGGGGTGGTCTGGCCCCTGCACCTGCCCATGGGATGGGGTGTGTGGGGGGGAGAACGGAGTCCCCCAGAATGAGCACGTGTGGGGCAGCCAGGTGACACGAAGACTTTGGAGGGGGCCGGGCTGCCCCCCCTCGGACAGGCCCCCGCGTCCCCACTGTCCCCTGTGGGGACCAGCTCCCCCAGCCTGCGCGCCCCACCATCCCCCCATCACCTACCCTGAGGGGCAGCGGAGAGGGGCTGTGAGGCAGGAGGGGGGCAGCAGGATGGGGTGCTGGGGACCTGGGCACAGGATGGGGGGGGTTGTGCTGTGCCCCCCACCCTGGCACCCTGTGCTGACCCTCACCAAACTGGGGGTGCCACCGTCCCCGGTGCGGAGCCAGGCTTGATTTGGGGACCTGGCAGCAGGGGAGTGAGAGCCCTGGGGGTCCCTACTTGGCCGAGGAGCTCCCGGGGGTCCCAGCCCCCCGGATGTGGGGAGCCAAGCTGGGGCCGTGCCCAGCTCCTCCCGGCTGGGCTCTGTGGCCCCCACCGCCCCCCAGGTTAGGGCTGGGGGAACGGGGGGCTCAGGTTTCCCTCTCTGCCGGGCTGGAGCTCGGGGCCATTAGCCCCCTCGGAGCATGACGGGGCGGGGGGGTGGTGGGGTATCAAAGTGCCTTCGCCCCGCACTAACCGGCGTGACCACAGCCCGCAGCCGGCCCCCACAGCCCCCGCGGCCGGGCCGGGGGTGCAGGACCCCAACCCGGCACCTGTGCCCCCCCCCCCCCAGCCTGCACCCCGGCACTGCCCGCAGCATCAGCCTGTGCCGGGGGCAGGCCGTGGGGACTGGGGGCTCCCCGCACCCCCGAGACCATCCTGCACCCCCTGGGCTCATCCTGCATCCCGCCCCCCCCCCTCTTTGAAACCCGCTCCCCATGGCTGCCTGGGGCACCCCCAGGCCTCCCCAAACCCCCCGATTCCCCGGGGGGGGGCACAGGCGGTGGGGCCAAGCTGCTGGCGGGGGGGCTGCTGGTACCGACCCCCGCGCCAGCCCCCGCTCCCGTCCCGGCGGGGGCTCATTTACCAACGTCAGCCCCGCAGTTGGTTTGAATTAGGCTCCTCCGCGGCCGGCGCTGATAAGTGAGGGGGCGCGGGGCTGGGGGGGGCGCGGGGGGCTCCCCGGCCCCGCTCCCGCTTCCTGCTCTGCCGTCTGTAACCGGCTGCCAGAGCCGCTGCTGAAAGACACGGGGGCGGCCCCCGCCGTCCCGCCATCCCCGTCCGTCTGTCCGTCCGCTCCCACGGCCACGCCGCCCTCCCCGCTCCCCCGCAGGCGGGCCCCGGTTGGGACCCCCATCCCGCACCCCCACCCCGCATCCCCGGCGGGCTGGGGGCTGCGGTGGGTGCCGGGGAGGGGGTGTGCAGGGTCCGTGACAGGCTCCGCGCACCCGCAGCACCCCGGGGCTGGGTGGGACCCGGCGCTTGCGAGGGTGTTTGTGGGGCTGGGCGGGGGGGGGGGCACAGCGTCCCCCACTCCCCACCAGCCCGGGGAGACCCGGCCGGACACGGAGCCCGGTCCCAGGACCAGCGGTGCAGCCCCGTGTCCCGCCGACCCCCGGGCTCCGCCCGCATTTCACCACGTACTTAGCAGGGGCTTTGGGGACGGGGGGGCTGCGGCCGCCCCCGCGCCCGAGTGAGGGATGGCCGACAGCTGGGCCGGGGAGAGGGGCCGGTAACCGGATCCCCCCGCGGCGGCTCGGGGGGTCCCGGGCGCGGGGTCAGCCGCGGTGCGGAGCTGGGGGCGAGGGACGGGCCACGTGTCCCCCGTGGGCTGGGGTGGGTGGGTGGGGGGGTGGGTACGGACACACACACACACGCGCGCACAGCCTGCCCGATGGCTCCGTGCCACGTCCACCGAGGCTGGGGGGGTCCCGGGACACCCGGCTCGGGGGGCGAGGGTGGGGGCAGAGGGGCTGCTGGCCCCAGCGACCCCCCCCGCGGCACGTCTGAGCACCATCACCGGCGTGCCGGGGGGCACGGAGCGGGGCCGGGGCTTCCCCAGCAGGACCAGGACCCGCGGGGACGTCCCACCCGGCTCGCGGTCACCCCTCCGAGGGGTCCCCCCGGAGCCGTTTTGCCGGGGGGGGGGGGGGGGCCGGGACCCGCGGCCCCGGCACCTGTTCCTGCACCAGGAATAGGGGCCGCAGCCGCCGGATCGTGTTTGCAGGGCCCGGGAAAAAGGGGGAAGCGCATCCCAGCCCTGCTCTGGGGTGGCGGGGGGGGGGGGGGGGGGGGGCACACCCCCACACCGGGGGACCCCCGAGCCACCCCGCACCGGCAGCTGGGCCCGGGGCTGCCGCACGCCCGACCTCCCCGCGCTCCGGCAGCGGCCCAGATGGCTGCGATATTTCCCCACAATAGCGAGCTAATTAGGCAAGCGCTGGGGAGCGGAGCGGGGGGGGCCGCCCTGTGTCCCCCCCCCCCCCCCCCGCTCAGGCAATCAAAGGGCCCATGACTTTATTACGGCTCATTATGCGCGGGCGGCGGGGGGGCGGGCAGCCTGTGCCGAGGCGACAGGCGTGTTATTTCCCCATCACCCCTCATTGGGATTCTGGCCCCGGCGGCGGGGGGGGGTGGGGGGTGGGGGGGGGGGCCGGGACGTGCGCCAGGCAGCCGTGACGGTGATTAATCTGCTGAGCGCCCGCACAACTGCGCTCGGCCGAGGGGCTGCGCGCCCCCTGTGCCGGCACTGCCGGGGGGGGGGGGGGGGGGGCTGCACCCCCCCAGCCCAGCCACCCACCCCCCCAGCGCTGCCGCTGCTCCCCAGGGCCCCCCCAGCATCCCCTGTAGTGCACCCCATGGCTCAGCACCCCCCCACTGCAGCAGCCCTTGGGGGGGGGCTGCGGGTGTCGTGTCGTCCCCCCCCCTCGCATTTCTGGAGGTGCTGGTGGTGAGGGGGGGCTCAGCAGGGTCCCCAGTAGCTACCCCCCAGCCCCAGCCAAACGCCCCCAGCGTGCAGAATGGAGGCGTGGGGGATTTTCCACAGTTTTATTCAAAAAATAAACTTGAGCAGGAGGAGCATTAAGTTAGGGGGAGCAGGGTGGGGGGCGCGGGAGCAGGGCTGCGCTCCGGGGGGGGCAGCACCCGCCCCCAGCCCCTACCTCCTCTTGTCCTTGATGCTGTAGTGCAGCAGGAGGGGCGCGGGCTGTGAGGCAAGGAGGGGGGATCAGGGCTGCTGGCACCCCCACCATGGGGCAGACCCCCCCGTACCCCAGCCCAAGGCAGACCCCCCCCCCCCCGTACCCCAGCCCGGGACCCCAGGGGTGGGCGGGAGCAGCCCCCCTGCTGCAGGGCTGGCCCCAGGCAGCCCGAAGAGCCCCGGGGCTGCACCGTGAACTTGTCCAACCCCTTCAGGGACCCGTCGCCCTCCCGACCCATAGCGGGGGGGGGTACGCAGCCGTGGGGGGGCCCGCGGGTCGCCGCTGCAGCGAGCGACATTAATCATCCTTGATTCACCGATTCCCCGCTCCACTGCCGCGTTCTTGGAGCCACAAGCCGCTTTCCCGGGGAGGGTCCCCCCACCAGACATGGCTGAGCCCCCCCGCCACTCCCCGGCCCGGGATGGGGCCCCCGGGGGGCAGATCCCTCGCGGCAGGGTGGGGGGCAGCGGGTCCCACCTTGCCAAACCAGCGCGAGAGCCAGAGCTGCTTCATCGTCATGTGGTCGGGGAGGGCCTCGTTGTTGAACAGGATCTGCACCTACGCGCGGGGAGGCTGTGTCGGGGTGGGGTGGGGGGCCCACGACCCCCCCCACACCTGTGAAGCTCTCCCGGCCCCCCCACTCACGTGCTGCAGCGGCAGCCCCAGGCGGTGGCACAGGACCCTCCGCAGGTGCCGGATCTGGGCCCGCACGGAGCATCTCACGTACTTCTGCTGCAAGGGGCAGAGCGGGTCGGGGCGGGGGGGTCTCAGCTCCCCCCAGCCCCCTCCCCACCTGGGACCCCACGCACCAAGCCGAGCCCAGAGCGAGGGCTGTGGGGCCGGGTGTGGGCAGAGCTGGGGGGGGCTTGGGGCCCGGTGCAGGGACCCCCCCCTCACCTGCAGCACGGCCTTGCTCTTGTCCTTGCTGGAGCTGCGGAGGGAAGAGAAGGGGCAGCCTGCCAGCTCCAGTGCTGGGAGGTGGGGGGGCCGCGGGCTGTACCCCCTGCCCGTCCCTGCGCACAGCCTGGCGCAGGGGTGCGGGGTGACCCCCCCCCGCCCGTCACACGGGGCCGGCAGCTGAGCTGCAGCCATCGATCCCACCACAGACCCCAGAGCTGCCGCTTATTGACTTTGCTGTCGGAGCTGGCGGGCAGCTGCGCAGCGCCCGTCCCTGCAGCCGCCGGGCAGGGCTGCGGGCTGGGGGGGCACACACACACACACACACGCAGAGCTGGGGCAGCGGGGAGCCAGGACCCCCCCGCGCTGCCGGCACTCACCTCTGCTTCTCCAGGCAGAGCGAGACGTGCTCGTCGTAGCGGAAGTAATGGGCGCGGGAGTGATCGAAGGTGCTGTAGGGGAGCCCCATGGGGTCACCCCCGACTGTGTCTGGGGAGACGCGGGGAGGGGGGCGGGACTCAGCCGGAGACGCCGCAGTGAGACCACCCCCCTCTCCCCCCCCCCAGGTCTGGTCGCGGCCCCCGAGCGTGCCCACCCTCACTGCTGGGCTGCGTCACCCGGTCGAGGCCGCGGGACTGGTAGAATTCCCGGATCCTCTTCTCTTCACCTGTGGGGGAGAGGCCGGCGCTGCTGAGGGACACCCCCTCGCCCCGCGTGCCCCCCCCCCCCAGCCCATCACGGCTTCCTGCCTGCGGTGCCTGGGGTGGGTGGGGGTCCCCGGGCTGCCTTCGGCCCGTCCCACCGCTCTGACCTTGGCTGGGCAACGCAGCCGACAGCCAGCGCCTCTCCTGCCGCCAGACACTCCCCCCTGTGCCCCCCCGGGGTCTCCACCAAGCCCCCGCCATGTGCCAGGGGTCCTGTCCCCATCCCTGTCCCTGTCCCCCTGGCACCTCCCCCCTCATTCCCCCCTCCCCGCCGTGGAGCAGGGGACCAGAGCCCACGCTGCGTGTTTGCTGCGTCCCCCCCCTCCTCCCCAGGCCTCCATCCCCCCGTGGCAGGCTGACATTTCCACCGAGGTGTCCCCAGCGCCGTCCCCATCCCCGTCCTGACTGACAGTGGCTAATCTCGAGCCCACGGCTGCGCCTGCGGTGGGGCGGGGGGGCTGCCCCCCCCTCTCCAGCGTGCTGCTTTGCATTCACCACCACCGTCCGCCGGTTCACCGCGCCGTCACTCAGCGCCTGGCCTGGGGGACGCGGCTCACGGACCTCCCGTCCCCGCAGCGCCGAGCACGGCCGGCTGCCGCAGCCCGAGGGGGCTGAGCCGGTTGCAGACCCCCCCAAAAAGCACCCCCCCACACACTCCTTGACCCATTGCCCCCCCCCAGCCCCAGGGAGCTGCGGCTGCTCTACCCACCGGCACGGCTGGGGGGAAGGGACAGAGCCGCGGCACAGCCAGAGCCTCCCGTGGGTCCCTGTGCCCGAACCCCCCAACCCACGCGGTGCCAGCGCCGAGCCCCCGCCTCGCTCTGCTCCCCATCCCCAAACACCCCCACATGCTTCCTGGGCCCCTGCAGCCCCCCAGCACCTGCTTCCGTGACCGGGGGCCGTTTGTCCTGCTTTCTCCCTCCCTCTACAACTGGTTTTACATAGCAAGAAGCGCCCCCCACCCTCTCTTCCCAGCCAAGCTCTAGCAGCTGCGGGATTTAGAGCACCACGAACCACAGACCCTCCCACACCCAGTAAGGAGGTGCCCCCCCCCCAAATCTCCAGTTTTTCCCTGTGCCCTTCCCCTCACAGCTCCTCCCCATGTCGTTCTGCAAGACACTGGTGCCAGGGACGCCCGATCCTGGCCCCCCCCCGGGACACTCACTCTCCTGCAGACCAGGCACCAGCTTGTAGACAATGTCCTGCATGACGCGGTCCAGCTTGAGGTTGAGCAGCGGCTGCGTCTCGTGGATCTTGGTGTTGCACATGGGGCAGTACTTGCTGGTCTGCAGGTACTTGACGATGCAGCTCTTGCAGACTGTGGCCAGAGGGAGGGGGCGTCGGGGGGGGCCGGGGTGGTGGCACAGCCCCACACACCCAGCACTGACCAGTGGGACACGTCCCCCTTGGCCCCCCTGGCAGAAGGCACAGTCGCGGGGCGGCGGGCAGGGGAGGGTCTGCAAGCCCCCCCCCCCCCGCCCCCCATCCATGGGGGGGACCCACAGCGCCGGGGACTCACACGTGTGCAGGCACTCGGTGATGGTGGTGGCATCGATGAAGTACCCGGCGCACAGGCAGCACACGATGTGCTCGTTCAGCTCCTTCATCTTCACCTTCACCTCCTCCTGCAGAGACGCGCCGCTGTCGCCCGCTCCCCCCCCCGGGGCACCCTGCAGGGGCACACCGGCCTCCCACCCCCCCGCAGCCCCCTGCTTGCCCCACGCGCAGCGAGACGCCCAGGGACGGCACAGCAAGGGGGAGCACAGGGGCGGCACGGGTGGAAGAGCCCCCCTGGGCCATGCAAGGGCCCCCCCCCCCCCCGTGCCCCTGCTCACCTGTGGCCTCGCCCCACAGCCCGGCCTCAGGGCGCGGAGCCCCCCCCAGCACCATGGGGTGGGGGGCCGGGGGTGACGGCTGGGGGTAGCCTCTCTCCTGCTGTGGGGCGCAGCACCTGCACTGACAGCCTCCCCCACCCCCCGGGAGCTGCCACGCCCTGCCACGCCCTGCCCCACCCCGAAAAAGCCCCGCCCCGAAAAAGCCCCGCCCCGAAAAAGCAGCGCTCAGGGCAGGGCTTAAATCACCCGTGCCCCACCCCTGCGCCAGGCCCCGCCCACCCTGCTCCTGGCCCCGCCCCTCACCTGCGCCTCGCCCATCACACCTGGCCCCGCCCACCCACCGCCCCTGGCCCCGCCCACCCGCGGCGGGGGCGGACCGGCGCATGCGCGTCCCCGGCGCACCCCCCCCCCCCGCCCCCCCCCCCCCGGAGCGTTGTCGCGGCGCGCTCTTCCGCCCGCGCATGCGCCGGCCCGGCGCCGCCGGCCGCCGCCGCTCGCCTCGTTCCGGAGCGGGTCCATCTTGTAGACGGCCTGGAGCTGGTTCCGCAGCCGCATGGCGATCGCCATCGGGCCCCCCTGAGGAGGCGACGCCATCTTAGAACCTCCTCCGCCTCCCCGCTCACTTCCGGGTTCGGGGCGGGGCCGCCGCCGCCGCCGCCGCCGCCGCCGCCCGTGACTACGGCTCCCGCCGCGCCCCGCGCGCCGCTGGGCATGCCGGGAACGGGCCGGCGACGCGGGGCGCGGGCGCCCCCTGCTGGGCGCGGCGGGGAGCGCGGCGCTGCCGTTGGCCCCGCCCCGCAGCCGGGCCCCGGGGTCGGCCCGGCCGTTACCGGGAGGCTCCCGCGTGTCACGGCCGGTCCCGGGGGCGAGGCTGTCCCGTCCCCGTCCCCGTCCCGTGTGTGTGTGCCCCCCGGCCCCGCGCCGGCGGCCGATAGCGGGGGGCGGGCCCCTTGACAGACAGCAGCCGCCGCCAATGGGGGGCGGCGCGCCGTGCCGCGGGCCGCCGCCAGGGGGCAGCAGCGCAGCGCGAGGGGCCCCGGCTCGGTGCGGGGGGGGAGGGGGGGGCGCTGCCGTCGGGGTCCCCGCGCCCCCGAGCGCCCCCCGCGGGGGCGGCAGGGCCCGCACGGCCCCCCCGGGCAGCCCCCGCCCCGCCCCGGTGGGGCACGTGCCCCCCTGCGGGGGCTGGGGGTGCTGGGGCGGGACTGGGGGGGGCAGGGGCTCGGGCTGGGGCCGGGGTGCAGGGTGGTGGGTGCCGGCGGGGCGGACGGGTCGGGGGGTGCCGGGTTTGGGGGCGCCAGAGATGCCGGGCTGCCGGCCGGGTTTGGGGGGGCCGGGTTTGGGGGGGCCAGAGATGCCGGGCTGCTGGCCGGGTTCGGGGGGGCCGGGTTTGGGGGGGCCGGGTTTGGGGGGGCCGGGTTTGTGGGCGCCAGAGATGCCGGGCTGCTGGCCGGGTTTGGGGGGGCCGGGTTTGGGGGTGCCGGGTTTGGGGGTGCCAGAGATGCCGGGCTGCCGGCCGGGTTTGGGGGGGCCGGGTTTGGGGGTGCCAGAGATGCCGGGCTGCTGGCCGGGTTTGGGGGGGCCGGGTTTGGGGGGGCCAGAGATGCCGGGCTGCTGGCCGGGTTCGGGGGGGGCCGGGTTTGGGGGGGCCGGGTTTGGGGGGGCCGGGTTTGTGGGCGCCAGAGATGCCGGGCTGCTGGCCGGGTTTGGGGGGGCCGGGTTTGGGGTGCCAGGCGGGCCGGGGTTTGGGGGTGCCGGGTTCGGGGTGTCAGGCGGGCCGGGGTGCCGGGTTTGGAGGTGCCGGGCGGGCTGGGGTTTGGGGGTGCCGGGTTCGGGGTGTCAGGCGGGCCGGGGTGCCGGGTTTGGAGGTGCCGGGCGGGCCGGGGTTTGGGGGTGCCGGGGTATTGGGCTGGTTTGGGGGTTGCCAGGCGGGCCGGGGTTTGGGGGTGCCGGGTTCGGGGTGCCAGGCGGGCCGGGGTGCCGGGTTTGGAGGTGCCGGGCGGGCCGGGGTTTGGGGGTGCCGGGTTCGGGGTGCCAGGCGGGCCGGGGTGCTGGGTTTGGGGGTGCCGGGTTCGGGGTGCCAGGCGGGCTGGGGTGCCGGGTTTGGAGGTGCCGGGCGGGCCGGGGTTTGGGGGTGCCGGGTTCGGGGTGCTGGGGTGCCGGGCGGGCGGCCTCCCTGGCGCTGCCGGCCGAGGCTGGAGCCGCGCTAATGGTGGGTGATTGGATCAGGGCTCTGGAGGGGAAGGAGCGGCCCCGCTAATGCAAAGCAGAAGCCGCTCAAGGCCGTAATGGCTCGTTATGGTTACGATTATTGCTCCAATCCCGAGCAACAAGTGCTGTCTGGGGAGACGGCGGGGGCCGCCGGCGCGGGCGAGACGGCGCAGCCCCCGTGGGGACCCCGGGACCGGGTGGGTGCTGGGGGCGGCTGCCGCCGTGGGACCCCCGGGCTGGGGCCAGCACCAGCCGCCGGACATGCGGTGTGCCCCCCGCGCCCCCCGCTTTCACCAGCCGAGCGGTCGCTGCCGGGGCCGGGAGGTGATTAAATGCTGGCGAAGCCGAAATGACGCCGTCCCGCCAGCCTGGCCCCAGCAAGGCCCCGCACAGAGGTCCCCGGCACGCAGCGGGTGCTGCCAGCCCCGCGCCGGCACCGTCACCCCACTGGGCAGGGAGGGAGATAATGGGGGTTCGGCCCCCCGCGGGGCTCCGGGCCAGCGGTGCCATCGGGGCTGTGCCAGGGCCCTGCGCTCCGCTCCCCTCGAGCAAGCGTGCGGGGCCGGGGTGCCCCCGGCGCAGTGGGGAGCGGTGGCTGTGGGGCCCGGGGGTGAGGTGGCACCGTCCCCAGCACCGCCAGCCATCCCAGTGCACCAACCAGCTGGCCCCTTGGCTCCGCTGCTTCTGCATGTTTCCTGGTCCCGGTCCCGGTCCTGGCCCTGGTCCCGGTCCTGGTCCTGGCCCCTGTCCCAGTCCCGGTCCTGGTCTTGGTCCCAGTCCCTGTCAGCTCAGCTCCTTCTGATCCTGGTTGGAGCAGCTGCGTCCCAGCCCCTGTCACCTCAGCTCCTCGAGGTCCCAGTCAGCCCAGTATGGCCCAGTCCAGCTGGCCAGGCTGGCTTGGCCCCCCATGACCAACTGGAGAGGTTCACTCTGGCCCCGTGCGTTGCAGCGGGTGCCAGCTGAGCCCCGGTGTCCCCCGGTGTGTCCCCACGGTGCCAGCCCCCCGTCCCTGCCTCCTGCCCGGGGCCAGGCATGGTGCGTGGCCGGGCTCCGGCACCCGCAGCCCCTGCACCCTGGGAAGGGACCCCACCGGCAGCCACGCTGGCCCCCTCCCCAGAGCCGGGGCGCCCGTGGGCGGAGGTGGGCAGGACCAGCCCCCCACCCCGGGGTGACCGCAGCCCCCACGACTCGCCCACCCGCTGCTGGCCGGAGCCTGCGGCCCTTCCGGCACGTCCTCACCGGGAGGTGAGAAATGAGGCTGGGGCCAGGGTGACCCCCGCATCTGGGGAGGGTCTGGCCCCATTTGTACCTGCCAGGAGCAGTTCCTGGGAGGGACAGCCGGGCTGGGGGCTGCGGGGGTCACAGCCGGGCCAGCGCAGCCCTGGGGCAGGGCCGCATCGCTCACCGCCAGCGCCGCACCCAGCACCGGCACCGCGCCCAGCGCCAGCACTGCAGCGGCCCCAGCACCTCACTGCATTGACCACTGGCACCAGTTACCGGCACCGCACTGAACGCCAGCACCACGCCCAGCACCAGCAGGGCAGTAGTACCAGCACCACACTGCATTAACCACTGACACCAGTACCGACACCCCGCCGAGCACTGGCACCACAGCAAGCACCAGCACCGCACAATATTGACCACTGGCACCTGTTACCGGCACTGCACCAAGCACTGGCACCCAGTGAGCACCAGCACCGCACCAGGGCCACAGTGAGCACCAGCACTGCAGCAGCACCCGCACTGCACTGAGCACCAGCACCAGCACCAGCACCGAGCACTGGCACCGCCTGCTCGCTGCCCTGCCCCACCCGCACCCCTTGCACCCCATGTCCCACCTTGGCCCAGGCCAGCACGATGGGCTGGTGGTGGTGGTGGTGGTGGTGGCAGAGCACAGTGGCTCTGCCAGGAAAGGAGGACCGACCCCCGACAGCGGTGCCTGCTGGTGCACGTCCCTGCGGGACCCCCTCACACTGGCACAGGGCTCCCCGTGTGCCATCCCTCACCCCCGCTTCGTGCACAGCCCCCCAAACTCGCAGAAGCAGGTCCCCCCACGCCTGCGCCCGCCGTCACCCGTGCTGACACCCCCCCTGCACGAAGGACCCGTTCGGGTGCACACCCCACCCGTGTGCTGCCCCCGCCCGTGCCCCCGGCGCGCTCACACCAGTGTGACACAGTGGAGCCCCGGGGCTGGGTGAGGTGTGGGGTCTGTTGGGTGGTTCCGGCACCGCGCAGGCACAGGACCCACAGGGATGAGGGGCTGCAAGGGGGGCTCGGGGTCCTGCAGTGCTGGGGCAGGGTGCCCACCCGTGCTCCCTGCTGGTGCTGGGCATGGGGGCCGGGGTGCCCGGCAGCCGGCACTCCCCGGGGCCGTGCTTGCCAGCCTGGCACACACGAGGCCGTGCAGCTCCATCTCTCCGTAAATAATTAATGCCTGGGCGGCAGCCGGCACTTCTCCCAGCCTCAGAGAGGCTCCGAGGCCGGGCAGGCCGGTGCTTTTAGCAGAGACCTGCTCAAATATTCAGCTCCATTTCCGCTGCGGAGCTGCGCGGGGCCTGGGCGGCTCCTTCTGGTAAGCGTCTGCCGGGGGCTTTCCCGGCCGGGCCCCTCGTCAGGGCCGAGCGAGGCTGGGGCTGAGGCCGGACGTGCTCATGACCGCAGTGGGTGCAGGGCAGCAGCGCTCCGGCCCCCCCAGGCCAGGCGAGGTGGGGGCCGCGGCTGGACCCGACTCAGGGCAGCGGGGAGGGTGCTGCCCACAGGGAGCTGCTGGGCAGAGCGAGGCCGGGGGGGACCCATCAGGCGACAGCGGGGACACGCCAGCCCCCACGGCCCCAAGCCCCGACCCCGGGGTCGCAACACTGGGGCCACCAGCCGTGTCCCGCCCCCCGCCTCAAGGGGCTCACGCTGCAGCACAGCCAGAGCCGGGGTCCCGTCCTGGTGTCCACACACAGTCCCCACAGCCAGAGCCGCCGTCCCGGCCCCCCACGCAGGGTTCTGGCCCCACGGGGGCTCCAGGGGTGGTGGGGCCGTGGCAGGGTGGGCTGGGGCAGGGTGGGGCAGGGCAGGGTGGGCTGGGGGCCGCGGCAGTGAGCTGGGGGGGGGGGCTTGGGGGGGGGGGGCTGGGCGGTTATGGACTGAACTCCTGCCTAATGCACCTGATTGGATTTGCAGAATCTAATTACCTGCCCTCGGCCTTTGATAACGAGGTTCAGAGCGACGGCTTCTGTCAGCGGCCGCAGCCGTGGCACCCCGGCCCGCGGGGACGGGCAGCACCGGCACCCGAAGCCCCGCGACGGACGGGACCCCCCGGCCAGCGCCAGCCCCGGGGGAGGCGAGGGCGGGGGCGCGGGGGGCCCCAAGGACCGCCCGGTACCGACAAGGAGGCTGGAGCGTGGGAGAAGATCCCGGCGTGCCTGCCCACCCGTGGGTCCCGCGGCTCCGGCGCATCGGCACCGGTTCCGCTGGACCAGGACCGAGGAGCGGAGCGGGGCAGCGGGGCCGGCGCTGCCCGTCCTGCCCGCAGGCAGCCACAGGGGCCCGGGGACCGTCCTCCTGCCCCCGCCCCCCAGCACTCCCTCCCGCTCCCCTCTCCATCACCCGGCCGGCCCCCCACCCAGCCACGCCACCGCCCCGCTGAAGGCCTGGAGGCTCGGCTACCGCCCTGGTAATGTCGGCGCTGGCCATGGCGGGTGCCCCCCCCTCGCAGGGCTCCCCACGACCCCCCCCCAAGCCGGGGAGGTGCAACCACGGGCACGGCAGCAACTGCTGCCAGAGCTACCCCCGACCCCGACCGCCCCACGACCGCTGCTCCCAGCCCCCCGGAGCTGCCGTAGCCGGGCACGGCGGGTGGGTTTGCAGGGGGTGCACCCCCAGCCCGGCCTCGCAGCCCCCTGCCCGGATCCCCGGCTCCGCTGTCCCCCACCTCGGGGGGGCTGCAGCCTGGGGACACCCGTCAGGGCACAGCCCCCCGGCAGCTCGGGGCCGGCGTCACCCCGCAGCCGCCCGTGGGTCCCCGTCGCACCGAGCTCCTCCCCGAGCACCCCGCGCAGACGCCGGCGGCCTCCGTGATCTCCGGCCGGGGCGGCTCCGACCGGCGGGGCCCCGGTAGCCCGCGGGCCGGCCGGCCGAGCCGCCACTCGCCGCGCACGGTGCTGCCCGCGCTGCCCCGGCGGCCCCGTCCCGGGCCCGTCCCCGGTCTCTCGGTGGGTCGCGGGGGGGAGCGTGCCACCCGCGTCACCCCGCACACCCCGGCCGGGTGCCGGCGCCCACCCCGGGGCGGGCGGCGGGGGGCACCGGGAGTGTTTCATGCGGTTAAGAAGTGTCTGATTGAGGCAGGAGGCGCCAGCAGCTCCCCCGGGAGCCGCAAGCCAAGGACTGGAGGACCAAATGCAGGCTAAAGTAATCCAATCTGGGCTGGCTTCATCTAATTAGCCCAGAATTAACCCAGCAGCCAGAGAGGAGCTGACTGTCCCTACAGTTTGCCAGCGGGTTTGGGGGGAAGCGGGAGGAAGAAGGGGACGTCCAGCGGTAATGAGATTACGGGGGGGAGCGGGCGGGAGCGGGCGGCTTGGCAGCATCTTGCCGGTGGTAACGTGGGGCCCTTCCAGGCCTCCGCCGCTTAATTGCTGCGCGCTGGCCGGCGGGCGGGGGGGGGGCTGCCGGCGAGGAGGGGCGGGCGGGGACCCGAGTTAATGACTCCTGCCCCCGCACCGACACCTGAGCCCGGCAGCAGCGCCCGCGGGGGACGGGGACACCGGCCCGGCCGGCCCGCGGGGACACGGCACCGCGAAGCCGGACCCTCGTGTGCCCACACCCCCACCCCGGCCTCCCAGGGCGGACGTGCCGAGGGCCGGGGGGGCCCAGGATGGCGGGGGGGGCCCGAGGCGGTGGGATGCTGGGTCGTTTTCCCGAAGGTCGATTTCCTACACGCCCCTTCTGCCACGTCCCCCCCACCCGGGTGCCACGCTCCTGCCCCGGCGTGGGGACGCGTCCCCCGCGCCCCGCAGGGACTCCCAGGTCCAGCCCCGCAGGGCAGGAGGGGGCCCACGCCGGGGCCCACGGGGTGCTCGCCGTGGCTGAGAAATGAGGAGCAGGTTTGGACCGGGTCGTCCCAGCCCCCTCCTCCCAGTGCAGGTGTGTGGGGGTCCCCGTGCCAGAGACCTCGCTGGCCGCGCAGTCCCAGCCTGGGGGCAGAGCCGCAGGGACCCGGGGGGGCCAGGACCCTGCTGGGCCCCCCCCGCCTCGGGCTGCACAGCGGTTCTGGGGACCTCGGGAGCAGGCACGGGGACACGACCTCATCCCGGCTGCCGGTGGCCCGAGGGGACACAGGGACAGCGGCAGGAGGAGGTGGCAGCTGGGGGCCCCGCGGCCAGCCGGGTCCCCGGACGGGTGACCCCCTGCACCCAGAGCCGGGGTGGCACGGCCCCCACCCACTCCCCCAGCACTCTCAGCCCATCTCCGTGAGCCCTCGGGGGTGTCCCCGCTCCGCGCCATCCTGGGGTGACCCCACCCGCGCTGCCGGAGGGGCCCGGGCAGGGGTCCCTGCCCCAGCCCCACTCCCTGCCTGGTGGTGCCGGCCCCAGACCCCACCTGCGGAGTGCCCTGAGCGGGGGTCGGGACGAGCACCCACCCGGCGAGGCCCCGGCGGGGGGTTGCCGCCCGGCAGACCCCCGTGGGCGCGGGGCGGACCATGGCAGGCGCCGTGTGAGCCCGCGCCGCCCCCGGCCCCGTCACCTGCCCCCCAATCCATCTCCCGGGACCGGCAGCATTCCAGCCCCTGGGCACGGCAAACATCTGCCTCCTGCTCCAGGTTTAATTAACCTGCTGCCGCCTCCCTCCCCCAGCACCAGGCATTTCCTCCCCGCCACCGCTCCGGGCCGGGGCAGGCGCCGATGGGGCCTGGGCCAGCACCGGTGCCGGTGCCAGCACCAGTGCCAGCAGCAGCGCCAGCGCTGGCTGCGCCCCGCTGGGCCACGGCGAGCCCCTCCGCCGCGGCGGGCCCGGAGCCGGTGGCTCTGCCCGGCTGGGGAGAGCGGCGGGAGCACCGGGCAGGTTTCTCCCGGCACCTGCCAGGCCACGGGCAAGAAATGCCGGTAAATTCCCGGGGCTCAGCCGTAGGGCCCCCGTCAGGGCAGGGTCCCGGTGCTGGCACACGGGGACCCCCACCCGCGGCACGGGGCTCCCTCGGGAGCAGCAGGAAGGGTCGTGCCCCCCGGGATGGAAAGGGGCAGCTCCGAGCCTGCCCGGTGCTACGGAGGGATGCGAGTACGGCCCGGCCCGGCCCGGCCCGGATCGGCACGGCCCGAGGGTCGAGAGTGCACCCGTCCGGGGCCTGGTGGGGACGGACGTGTGTGTGCGCCCGTCTCCACGTGTGTGCGTGGGTGTGCATAAACACCGAGCAGTGGGGGCTGTGCACGCGAGTGCGGCTGTGCTGAAGTGTGAGGTGTGTGTGCGTGTGCACACTGGTGCTGTGCAGGCCCGTGTAGCTGTGCCGTGCCCCGGGGGGTGTGTGTGTGGGGAGGGTGTGTGTGAGCGTGTGCGTGTATACGCGTGCATCCGTGACGTGCAGCGTGTCTGTGTGCGTGTGCGGCTGTGCCGTGCTGTGGGCTGAGCACACACGCGTGGGCACGCCGCTGGTGGTCTGCGTGTTTGTGCATTGCCACCCCACGCTGCCAGGCGAGTGGGCGCCCGTGCAGCCCCGGGTGCCGGTGGCCCCACGCCCCGGAGGGGCTGCGGGGACGGTCACCCCCCAGCGCAGCGGGTCCGGTTGAGCCCGGGGCCCCCCGGTGCCCCCCGGGTGCGGCAGCTGCAGCTCCCGGTGCCGGCGTGATTTACAGGCGCAGGCCCCGGTAATGTCATTTTCCCCAGACCGGTGGCGCCAGGGTGGCCGGGCGGCCGCCCCCCGCCCCCCTCGCCTCCCCCCCGGTCCCTGGTCCGGAGCCGTGACCCGCCGCCCCGACCCCCTGCCCGCCCGGGTGTCGTGACCCCCATCCCGGCAGCCGCTGGGACCGACCCGCGGGGCCGCCCCACAGCCGCACCCCACGGGCCGTACCCACCGCTGGCGGCGCGGCTGTCGCGATAGTCGCCGGGAGCCCCGGCCCGGCCCGTGTTGCTCTCCGCGGGCCGATACCGGCCGCCGGTGGGGCTGCAGCCGGGCCCGCTCCTGCGAGCCAGGTACGAGCGTCCCGACGGGGCCGGTCTGGGGTCCATGCCCGGGAACGGCGGGTCGGGGGAACCGGGATCCGTCACCAGGGAACGGCGGTTCCGGGGAAAATGGGGTCAGTGCTACCGGGAACGGCGGGTCCGAGGGAAACGGGATCCCTGGCCCGGGAGCGGCTGGTCGGTGCGACTGAGGTCGGTGTTCCGGGAACGGTGGGTTCCTGGGAACCGGGGTCCACGCTACGAGCAACGGAGGGTCGAGGGAACCAGGATCCCTGTCCCCGGGAGCGCGGGTCCCTGCTACCGACAACGGCGGATGGGTCCGTGTCGTGGGAACGGCCGGTCGGGGAAAGTGGGCTCCGCACCGCCGGGAACGGCAGATGGGTCCGTGCGCCGGGACCGGCGGATCGGGGCGAACCCCGGGTCCGTGTCCCGGGAGCGGCGGCCCCGTGGCCGCGGGGTCCGCTCGCTCCGTGGTGGACGGTTTCGGTGCTCCCGGGCAGCGGCGGCTCCGGGGGCTGAAGCCTGCGCGCCCCGGGAGCGGCGGGCGTGGTGCCGGTCCGTGCGCCCCGGGATAACGGCGCCGGGGCCCGCTCCGTGCGCCCCGGGACGCGCAGCCATGTCCGCCCGGGAGGCTGGGGGGCCCCGGCTGGGAGCCCCGACGCCGCCGGAGCCTCCCGCCGGGGCTGCGGGCGGAGCCGGGGCTGCGCCGGGGCGCGGAGCAGCGCTGCCCGTCCGTCCGGTACCCCGCGCCGCCCCCTCGCTGCTGCGAGCCGGGGGACGTCGGGCGGCCGCCCCGGCGGCGGGGAACCGGGCCCGGGGGCGTCTCGGAGCCGTGCGGGGCGCTCGGGGCGCGACGGGGCCGCCCGTCCGGGCCGGAGCCGGTGCGGGAGCCCCGGCAGGCCGGGCGGGGAGGGGGGGTGGGGGGGAGGCCCGGTGGCGGGGCGGGGCCCCGGGATGCGCGAGCCCCCGCCCCCGGGGGTGCGGGGCTGTCGGTCACGGGGCGCGGCCGCCAATCAGGGCGCGGGCGGTCGGGATTTTGGCAGGTCCAGATGGAGCGGGGCAGAAAAGCGCGCGCCGCCGGGGCCCGCCGCGCACCCGCGCTCCCGCGGGCCATGCCCCGCACCCTGCCCCGCACCCTGCCCCGCACCCGGCCCCGCATCCTGCCCCGCATCCTGCCCCGCACCCTGCCCCGCACCCGGCCCCGCACCCGGCCCCGCACCCGGCCCCAGCCCCGCCGGGCCCGCACCGGGCGCCCCGCTCCCGCCGCCCCCGCTCCCGCCGCCGCCGCCGCTCCCGCCGCCGCCGCCGCCCCCCGCCGCCCCCCGGCCATGCCCGCGCCCCGCCGGCTCTGAGCGCGGCCGGGCGATGGAGGCGGCGGCGCTGGCGCGGGAGGGCGGCGGCCAGGGCCCCCCGCCCCACGAGCCCATCAGCTTCGGGATCGACCAGATCCTCGGTGGCCCCGACCCCGCGGGCGGCGGCGCGGGGCCGGCCCGGGCGGCGGGGGAGCCCGACTACGGGCTCTACGGCGGCGGCTACGGCCCCGCCTGCTCGCTCGGCTCCTACAACCTCAACATGAGCATGAACGTGAGCGTCAACGTGACCCCCGCGCCCGCCGCGCCACCCGCCGGGGTCATCCGCGTCCCGGCGCACCGGCCCGCGCCCGCCGCGCCTCCCGCCGCGCCGCCGCCGGTGCCCGGGCTGCCGGGGCTCACCTTCCCCTGGATGGAGACGACGCGCCGCATCGCCAAGGACCGGCTCTCAGGTGAGCGCCGCGGGCCGGCTCCCGACGGCTACCGGCGGCTCCCGACGGCTCCCGGCGGCTCCCGGCGGCTCCGACGGCTCCCGGCGGCGCGGCGGACGCGGAGCGGGGTCGGGGCGGGAGCGGAGCGGAGCGGAGCGGGGGGGGGGATTCCCGCAGCGCCGGGTCCTCGCCCGCCGCCCGCCGCGCCCCGCCCCGCCCCGCTCCGCCGGGAAGCGGCCGCCGTCGGGGCCCGCGGGGAGCGGCTTGGGGCTGGCACGGTTACCGGCAGCTCCGCTGCGGCCCCGCTCCGGCTCCCGGCGGCTCCGGGCGGGGGCCGGGACCGGGTCTGGCTCTGAGCGGTGCCCGAGGGCTCCCGCCACGGCCTCGGGCTCCGCTCCGTGCCTGGTCCCTTCTCCAGGCCCGGGGGCGCTGGGTGCCGACCCCGTCCCACCCACAACGGGGGTGCGGGGAGCCGGGGTGCGGGGAGGGGGCTCTGCCAGGAGCTGCGGGGCTGCAGGGCAAAAACCCTGTGGGGCTGGGTGTGGGGAGCTGGTGCTCCTGTCCCTTGTGTGCCCCTGGGGACTGGGGCAGGCGGTGGGGGGTGCCTGCGGGGCCCGGCTGTGGGGTGTGTGGGGAGAGGGCTCTGAGACCCGTGTGTGTGGGGGTGGGCACAAGGCGCCGAGGGAGAGGGCGGGTGGCGAGGCAGGTGTCGGGGCGGCGGTGCGGGGTCCTGGCGGGGCTGGGGGCTGAGCGCCCACGGCGGGGGCTGGAGCGCCCAGCGCTGGGATGAGGGTGCTGCTTGCTGCACCCCAGAGGAGAAGGCGCAGGGTGCTGTGGTTGCGATGCTGGGCACCGTGGCGGCATGGGGGGCGCGTGTGGGTGCCGGGGGGCCCTGGCCTGGCTCGGCTCGGCTCGGCTCCTTCCCAAGATGGCGGCGCTGCCACGTCCGCAGCACACGGCTCCATGTGGGGCCGAGTCTGGGGGCTCTGTGGGGCCGGGGGGCCGAGCACTGGCCGCAGAGGCGATGAGGCCATGGGGGGCGGGAGGCCGGGGGCCGCGGGGGGCTCAGCCTGGGCGCCAGCAGCGCCGGGTTCACCTCCCGGCCCACCCCGCCATCCCAGCGGTGACGAAGCACCGTCCCCGTGCAGGGGTGGTGGGTGACGTCCCCGTCTCCTGCCTGGCGCCAGCGGTGGGTGGACGGGGCGGCCCCTCCCCGGCACGGGGTCTCCCAGCCGCAGCCATCACTCAGCACCACCGGCCTTGGGGTGGTCTGCGGGCTGTCGGCATCTGTTCCCGGCGAGGGGCCGCCCCGCGTGGGGAGGGGGCGCGGGGGCCTCCGTCCCCCCCGACTGTGCGGCTCCACCTGCGTCAACCGCGTCCGCCCCCGCCGGCGGGCAGCCTGGCCTCCTGCTCGCGCCGCCCGCCTGGGTGCTGCCGGGAGGGAGGGAGGGTCTGGCATCGCGGGGAGGGTCTGCTGGGCGCCCAGCTGTCCCCCGGGGCTGCCCCACATCCCTGCAGCATGGGGTGCCGGGGCCCCATGGCAGCCCGGTGGGCCCGGCCATGTGCAGCCCAGCCCGCGTGGTGCCGGCACCGGCGAGGGTCGCGGTGCCGTGGGGCCGTGGCTTGGCCGTGGGCCGCTGCCGGAAAGGGAGGGGAGCGGGGAGCCGGGGGTTGCACCCCACCGAACTCTCACTTTCCTCCACGCCGCCCTGACTCTCCCTGCGGCTCCGACTGCCTCCGCGGCTGGGATCCGGCGTGCCGGCTTCGCCGTGCCGGGACAGCCCCTTCCCCAGCCCCCAGCACCCAGGCAGCAGCCGGCCCGGATGCTGCCGGCACATGCAGGGAGATGCCATCTGCCTCCCGACGGCTTCTGGGGTGCTGTCCCCACCCCGGGAGGGCTGGGAAGCCCCGGCAGTGCCGCGGAGGCTCCCCCGGGGCTGCGGCAGGGCCCGGGGCATGGGGTTTGTGGTGCCGGGAGCCTTGCCGGCCCCACACCGGCCCTGGGACCGGGTCTGCCACACCGCCCCGTTGGCCCTGGTCCCCACCTGCCAGGCTGGGGGAGCCGTGGGGCCGTGGCCGTGGGGTGCAGATGGGCTCTCCCGCCACATCTTGAGCTGCCCTGCGTGTCCCTGGGCTGGGGGAGCGGGTGGGGGTGGCTCGGGGTCTCCTCCTCCCCTGCTCTCTGCCAGGCAGCGCTGGCGGCCCCCCCGGAGCTCCCCGCCCCCGCGAGCAGCCAAGCCTCCCCCCCGGCTCCCGCGCCGCGCCCCTGGCTCCCCCGAGCAGCCCCTCACCCCGCCTCTGCCCCACAGCCGCGCTGTCGCCCTTTGCGGCAACCCGGCGGATCGGGCACCCTTACCAGAACCGCACGCCGCCCAAGAGGAAGAAGCCGCGCACGTCCTTCAGCCGGGTGCAGATCTGCGAGCTGGAGAAGCGCTTCCACCGGCAGAAGTACCTGGCCTCGGCCGAGCGCGCCACCCTGGCCAAGGCCCTCAAGATGACGGATGCCCAGGTCAAGACCTGGTTCCAGAACCGCCGCACCAAGTGGAGGTAACCGGGGCAGCCCCGGGGCAGCCAGCACAGCTCTGAGCCCCTGCTTCCCTCTGGCAGCCACCCCCCACCGTGGCTGTGCCCCCCGGGAGAGGCTGGGCTGGAGGGAGATGGGGTACCCATCCCCGCTGCATCCCCCGTGCCCAGCTGGGTGAGGCATGGCAGTGCCAGGGGAGGGACGGGCTGCAGGGCAGAAGCTGTGGGGCACTGCTGCAGCGGTGCTGAGAGAGGGACGGGCTGTGGGGTGGCGGCTGTGGGGCAGTGCCACAGCGGCACAGAGCGGGGCCGAGAGAGGGACGGGGCTGTGGGGCAGTGCCACAGCGGCACAGAGCGGGGCCGAGAGAGGGACGGGGCTGTGGGGCAGTGCCACAGCGGCACAGAGCAGGGCCGAGAGAGGGACGGGGCTGTGGGGCAGTGCCACAGCGGCACAGAGCGGGGCCGAGAGAGGGACGGGGCTGTGGGGCAGTGCCACAGCGGCACAGAGCGGGGCCGAGAGAGGGACGGGGCTGTGGGGCAGTGCCACAGCGGCACAGAGCGGGAACGAGAGAGGGACGGGGCTGTGGGGCAGTGCCACAGCGGCACAGAGCGGGAACGAGAGAGGGACGGGGCTGTGGGGCAGTGCCACAGCGGCACAGAGCGGGGCCGAGAGAGGGACGGGGCTGTGGGGCAGTGCCACAGCGGCACAGAGCGGGGCTGAGAGAGGGATGGGGCTGTGGGGCAGTGCCACAGCGGCACAGAGCGGTGCCGAGAGAGGGACGGGGCTGTGGGGCAGTGGCACAGCGGCACAGAGCGGGGCCGAGAGAGGGACGGGGCTGTGGGGCAGTGCCACAGCGGCACAGAGCGCAAACGAGAGAGGGACGGGGCTGTGGGGCAGTGCCACAGCGGCACAGAGCGGGGCCGGCAGCAGGTGTGGGGCAGTGCCGGACGGGCTGTGTGTGGCAGGAGGCAGACGGCGGAGGAGCGCGAGGCGGAACGCCAGCAGGCCAACCGGCTGATGCTGCACCTGCAGCAAGAGGCCTTCCAGAAGAGCCTGAGCCAGCCGCTGCCCCAGGACCCGCTCTGCATGCACAACTCCTCCCTGTACGCCCTGCAGAACCTGCAGCCCTGGGCTGAGGACAACAAGGTGACGTCCGTCTCGGGGGTGGCCTCCGTGGTGTGAGGTGCCCCGGGAGCCGTGGATGTGTGGTGGGAGCCCGGTGGGGTCTGAGCCCGGCACCGCCAGCCTGTGACAGGGAGGGGGCTGCTGCTTCCCGGGAGCCCCCCTCCATCGGCAGCCCCCTCTCTGCCACAGGCCAGCCCCCCCTGGTCCCCCCTCGGGGAGGGTGGACGGGCACCTGCGCTCGGACTCAAAGCTCTGCTGACCCCCGCGGGGACCCCTGCCTGGCGCACCGCTGCGGGCAGCCCCTTGCCCGGACCTCCTGGGGAGCCCATTCCCGGGCCCCCCCACCCTGAGGGCCTCTGCAAGTCCAGCCCCGCTCCATCCCCAGGGCAGCTCCTCGGGTGGTCTCTGCTCAGGACCTGCTGCCCACCCATCAGTGGCTCTCCCGGCCGTGCCAGGCTCTGCTCCCCCCAGGGCAGCTGCAGCCCCCGTCCCACCCAGGGCGGGGCACAGGGTGAACCCCCCCATTCCCAGTGTCAGGAGTGCCCCCTCGCCCTCGCTGGCGCCTACCGCGGGGTCTGCACCACCCACACACACTTGCCTTATCCTGGTCGGAGTTTGCCGGCTCCGGCTTCCAGCTGCGGCCCCGGGCTGGGCGAGGAGCTCGACCCCGTGACCCCCGGCCCCCCCAGCGGTGGGACAGACTGACGGACTGGGCTCCCTGGCGCTCCTGGGCTCCACACCCACTGGTTTGCCGGCTCTCTGCGGCCCTGGGCCTGGACGTGCCCCCGTTGCACCCTGTGATGGACTCGGGGTGCCTCTGCATGCCGAAGGATTGCACCAGCCCCCCCCCCCCACCTCCAAGAGGGGCTGCCCTCATGCCTGTCCCCCCCCCAAGTCTCTGTCTCCTGGGATGCCCTTCACCTCCCCCCACGCTGCCCAGGGTCAGACCAAACCTTGTGTGACCCACAGCACACTCGTGGGGAGGCAGAGGGGCCCACGGGGGGCTGAAATCCCCCCTCCTCCAGCAAATGTCTGCCCCCCCATTCCCCAGTGACCCCCTGAGTGTCCCCAGGCTTGGCCAGGGACCCCCGTCCCTTGCCCTGCCCCCCGGCCTCTGCCAATGCAGGGTCCCTGGTTGATAACAGAGGGCAGGGGGGGCAATAGCGACGACCCTGACCCTAAACTTGACCTTAACTCCCCCCCCCCCTCCTCCGCCGCTGTCCGTGGTGCCGCCGAGGCTGCCGGGGGGGGGGCGGCAGGAGCCCGCTGTGCCGCGGACACGGGGCAGGCTCCTGCCGCCCCCGTCCCCCGCTCTCCCCGCCCCGCTGCTACCGGGAGGAGGCGGGCAACCGGTGCCGGTTCCCGGGCGGCGGGATTGGCTGCGGTTCCGTGACGCTGCCCCGTTTTACCGGGGAGGGGTCGGGGGGTGGGGGGGGCGGAACCGCCGCAGAGCCGCCGGGATGAGCGCGGCCGAGGGCCGGCCCCGGTGCCGGGGGGGCGGCGAGGCGGTGCTCCGCGCCCGTGCCGAGGCTGCCGGGTACCGGCGGCTGCTGCGCGCCCGCGCTGCCGAGGTGGAAGCGCTGCGCGGGGCCGTGGGCGCGCTGCACCGGCGGCTGGAGGGGCTGCGGGACCGGCGCAGCGGGGAGCTCGCCAAGTACCAGGTGCGGGGGGGGCCCCGGGCGGTTTGGGCGGGGGGCAGATAACCGGGGGGTGAGGAAGGGAGGGGGCGGGTTTTGCTAAGGGGGGAGCCGAGGCAGCGGGTGGGGCTGGTGCGGGGCCTGGATGGACGGAGGGCTGGGGAGGGGGGGCGGGGGCCCGGGAGGAAGGGGGTCGGGATGGGGCTGGGGAGGGGGGACAGGGGTCTGGGGAGGTTTATGGGATGGGGGTCAGGATGAGGCGGGGAGGGGGGGACAGGGCTCCGGGGGGGCGGGAGGAAGGGGGTCGGGATGGGGCTGGGGTGGGGGGACAGGGGTCTGGGTGGGGTTATGGGATGGGGGTCAGGATGAGGCGGGGAGGGGGGGACAGGGCTCCGGGGGGGCGGGAGGAAGGGGGTCGGGATGGGCCGGGGGAGGGGGGACAGGGGTCTGGGTGGGGTTATGGGGTGAGGGGCGGAGGATCCGGATGGAACCGGGGAGGGCGCGTACAAGTGGGGCAGGGGACCGGGGGTCGTGCCGGGGCTGGGCGGGGGGGGGCTGAGGTGGGGCTGGGGAGGGGGACCCGTGCGGGCGGGGGTCGGGGTGGGGGTCCCGGGCGTTGCTGACGGCCCGGCCGGCAGGAGCGGGTGGCGGAGCTGGAGCGGGAGATCGGCGAGGCGGAGGCGGAGATGGCCCGGTGCCTGCGGGAGTACCCGGCGCTGCTGCGGCTGCGGATGGCGCTGGAGGCGGAGATCGCCGCGTACCGGTACGCGGGGGGGGGGGCGGGGGGCGCGGGCTGGGCGCGGGGCTCAGCCCGGGCCTGTCTCTTGCAGGGAGATGCTGGAGGGCGAAGAGCTGCGCCTGGGCTGCCTGGGCCTGCCGTGACCGGGACCCCCCGCCCCGCTGCGGGACCCCGCGCCCGGGCCCCCAGACCTGTGCGCCTCGGGGTCCCCTGAGCCCCCCGCTCGCCCCCCGGACACCCCGGCCGTGGGACCCCTGGACCCTCTGGATCCCTCTGGACCCCCGGTTCTCCTGTCCTGCTGTGCCATGGGCCCTCCCGGACTCCTGGGACCCCCAGGTTCCCCAGACCCCCCACCCCAGGAGGCCCCGGCCCCCCAGGAGGGCAGCGCCCACGGGGCCGCACACTCTCACCAGCCTCTCCGGAGCAGCAGCGGGGCTGGGGTCCCGGCCCCGGCCCGCGTGGAAGCACCTCAATAAAGCCCCGTGGCATTACCTGGAGCTGGCCTGTCGGGGGGGGGGGCAGTGTCCCCCAGCTGGGCCCGGCAGCGGGGGCACCCTGCTGCGCTCTCGGGGTCTGCAGCAGAGGCGGGGGGCGGGATGGCTCCGTGGGTGCCGGGGCTGTGTCCCTCGGGGGCTGCCTGGCTGCAGGGTCTTGGCTCCCTCCCACCTGGCCGAAGCCCCCTGCCCCCAGGCTGGGCACCCCACAGGGGTGCCGAGTGGGGCACATCGTGGGGGCTGAGCCACGGACACGTGGTGGAGGGGACTGAGCCCCCCCGGGCTGATGGGTGGTCTCTGATCCCCCCACTGTGGCTGTGTCCTGCCCTGGGACCGGCGTTCCTGAGGTCAGGCAGGGATCGTGCCCCCTGGGATGTGGGGATGAGGTGCTGTCCCCCAGGGTGTGCCCCCTTGGTGTAGGGCAGCACCCCAGCAGGGATGTGCTGCCCCTGGGGCTGTGGATGTTGCCCCCACCGCAGCCCCCAGAAAAGGGGCAGATCTGGGTGGAGGTTTGATGAGGAATAGGGGGGTCTGGGGCACCCGTGTGCGCTGGCAGACAGCTGGGTGGGGCCGTGGGGACCCCCCCACCCGGGCCAGTGCTGGGTACAGCCACTGAGCCGGGCTGGAGCGTGTGTGCAGGTGCGTGTGTTACACGTCTGTTTTCAGCAGTGCATAAGGACCCCCCGGGCCAGGCCCAGCGCTGGCAGGGAGCGGGCGGGTCCCTCAGGGAGCTGTGGGGCAGCGGGGGCCTTGCACAAGCCTGTGACCCCCGCCATGGGGCAGGGGCCAGTCTGGAACCTTGAGCAGAAGGGCAGGCAGGAGCCCTGCCTGCGGAGCGCCCAGCTGGAGCCCGCGGAGGCCGGGCGGCCCAACGCCCCCCACCCCACACAAAGATTAACCGAGGTTTGTTGTAGTAAAGCCAAGCCCAGCTCTTTAACAGAGACCAAAAGCCTCTTCCAAACCGTACAAGAGAATGGGAAGGTTGGTGGAGGGGGGGCTATGGCTGCCGCACCTGGGGGTGCCCCCCAGCCCCCCCGCCCTGCGTGTGCCCGTGCACGTGGAGGTGCAGTGGGGGTCGGGGACGGGTGCGAAGGGGAAGGGGGGGGCGTCCGTGCTGGGGTCAGCGCGCTCGGAGCTGGCGCTGCTGGGTCACATCGACGCCCTGCCAGGCAGTCCAGGGGCTCCAGGCGGGTTTGGCGTAGGGGTCCTGGCAGCTGATGCGCACCCGCCGCGCGCGCGCCCGCAGCCGCGTCTCCTCCGCGCCCTCCACGTACTTGTCAACCTGCAAAGCGGGGGCAGGTCGCGGCCTCGGGGAGCACCCCGGCACCGCGGCGGGGGGGCAGCCGGCACGGGCACTGCTGCGGGGAAGGTGGGACAGGGCAGGAGCAGCGCTTGGCGCTGGGGGCTCAGGAGTGGGGGACACCAGGCAGTGACGCTGCCTGGCGTGGGCAGCGCTGGGGGGGGGGGGGCAGCGGAGGCGACAGCCAGGAGTGACAATTCCCCGCCCCAAGGAGGGAAGCGGTGTAGCGGGGAGGGGGACATTGCTGAGCCCCTGGCAAGTCCCCGCTCCCACTGGCAGCCCCGGGCGGAGGGAAGAGCAGAGGCTGGGGCAGGGTGGGCGCAGCGGAGCGAGGATGTGGGGTGACACGGGGCGGGGGCAGGCTGGGCACGGGCATCCCGCAGTTACCTGGGTGCCGTTGGGGAGCTCGTACTGCAGCCAGTAGCGCAGGGCGAAGTAAGACCGGGGGAGCGGCCAGGAGGCCGGGGGGGCCCAGGCCAGGTGGAGCTGCTCCCCCCGGCGCTGCACGGTCAGCTCCTGTGGCGGGTCGGGCCGCACTGCGGGCAGAGCGGGGCTCAGCACGGGCAGCGCTGCCCAGCCCTGGGGGTGAGCCCCTCACGGGACACCCCTGAACCCCAGCACCGCCGCTCGGAGCTCACCGATGTCACGGACGAAGAAGTGGATGGAGAAGTTGAGGTAGGAGGTGTCCGAGAGCCCCTCCAGCTGCAGCTGCAGCGGGTGCAGCTCCTCGGCAAAGGGGCAGAACGAGGGATCCACAAAGCTGGCACTGAACCGGCCGTGGTGGCTGGCCGCCGGCACCCACTCCCCCAAGGAGCCGTCGCTGCAGGGGGGAGGCAGGTGTGAGGGTGGGGTGGTTACGGGGCTTGGGCTGGGTTGGGGGGGATCCCCGGGGCACCCACCTGCGTGTGAGGCGGGCACGGAAGACGGCGGAGTAGGGGCCGGTCCAGGAGCAGTGGAAGGAGCCGCGGTAGGACTCAGCCTGGCAGGAGACGTTCATCCCCTCCTCGCCTGGCGGGGCCGAGGGGCAATGGCTCGGGGGGGTGCACGGGGCTGGGAGCGGTGCCCCTTCCCCAAACGGCACAGGTGAGGCTGCCCCTGCAGCTGGGCTCCCCCCAGACCCACACAGCCCTGCCCGGGTCACCCCACAGCGTGAACATCTGCAGACGCACGAGCATCAGCCTGCCTTCATCCTCCCAACTCCCTGCATTCGCCCCATCAGCCCCCACCCGCCCCCTGCTCCCTCAGCCCCGGGTCCCCCGCCCAGCCGTGCCAGCCCCCCCTGTGCCAGCCCCCCCGTACGGGTGCCGCTGACCACCACGTAGGTGGTGTCCAGCAGGACGGTGCCGGCCCAGCAGCTGTAATTGCCCGCAGCCGGCAGGTCCAAGCCCAGGATGGTGAGAGTCTGTCCCTCGGCCACGAGCTCGGCCATGGGCTCTGGCTCCCCGTTCTGCGTCCAGGTCACTCGCTGCTCCGAGGTGTTGCATTTTATCACCACGTTCCCGTTCACTTTCCCCACCTGAACTGGAGATGAGAGGCAGAGACCGGGGTCAGAGATGGGCTGTGGTGCGGGCAGCCCGTTCCCCACGCCACGACGGGGCTGGGTGCCCCCTTGTCCTGACGCACCATACCCGCCTTCCCCGTGGTCCCCGCCCTGCCTCCACACCCCCCATCCATCCCACCCTGCCCCATTACCCCACATCCATCCCCCTGCTCACCCCACATCCCCCCCCCACCCCACGCCATCGCTCTCATGCTCATCCTCTAACCCCCCACCCCACCAGAAGAGCTGCTCCGGCCCAGGCTCACATCACCCCGTATCAGAGGGATGTGGGTGCTCCCTCCTCCCTCCAGCTGCTGTGTGGGTCCTGCAGTCTCCCCCCTCTCCCCAGGGGTGTCTCCCCCATGGGGCAGGACTCACACTTTGGGGGGAAGGCAGTCAGGGCGTCCGCAGGAGTGAGGCACAGCACCAGTCCCACCAGCACCAGCATCTGGGAGGGGAAGGGCAGCAGTAGGGGAAGGGGAAGGGGAGCCCTGTGCCGGGGAGGGGGCCCAGCCCTACCCCAGGAGAAGGGGAGCCGGCCGAGCTGGGATGCAGCCAGCAGCACCAGCAAGGGCAGAGCCCTCAGCTCTGGGACGACAGCTGGGTCAGGCAGGAGGGGGAGCGATGCAGTGCGGGGGGAGCCCTGCACAGGGCCAGCAGCCGATGCGACACCCCGACCCTTCCCACCATGGCCCCACTGGGTGCCCCCCGAGCAGGGGTCTGCGGTGCCAGCACCGTCCTAGGGCTCCCTGGTGCCTAAACACCTGCAGTGCAAGTGCCCCCCCAGCAGCCCCGATGCCGTGCTTACCTCCCTGCGTGGCATGCGCTGCTCCGGTGGGATCAATGTGGGCTGGGGGCCGGCAGGAGGTTGGATTTATACTGAGACGGGACCCTGTGGGGCTGCCCCAAGGTGAAGCCAAACCACAGAAGCATCACAGTTCTGAGAAGAGGAGAAAGCTGCTCTGGGTGGAGCTGCGAGCCAGGCCCCATGCTCAGCCCTTGACCCCAGCCCTGCTGGGACTCACCACGGGTACTTCCCAGGCTGGGGGGCGCTGGGGACCCACTGCCCTGCCCGGCCGAGGGCATCGCCGGGGCGGTGAGGAGGGGTCCGCTCCCAGGGACCGCTGGGCGCAGGGGCAGCGCTGGGCACCAGGACAGTGCCGGAGCCCAGGGTGGTCCCAGCTCCTGCAGAGTGGTCCTGAGCTGCAGGACTGGCCGTAGGGTTTGCACATCACTGCGCCACACGGACCCCCGCAGCCCCCCGCGGTGGGGGGGAGCGGGGATGGGACCACCGAGGTCCAGCAGCGCCTGTCCCAGGGGTCCGGGGAGGGGCAGGAGCAGTGCCGGGCCCACTGGGCTGCGGTGGGTCCCCCAGGAGACGAGCGGGTCCCTGCAGGGGCTCGGGGTGCAGCACCCACCCAGGCACGAGCTGTCTTGCCCCTTCCCAGGGCCACGCATCTGCCCCAGCTGCTCGTCCCGTGGGTTGCTGTGGGGGGGGACAGGGACACAGGGACAGAGGCAGCCACAGCCACCAACCCCCCCTTCGCCATCCCCAGCCCCACTCAGCCTGGCCGGGCACAGCCCCTGAACCCACACCGGGCCCCGGCCCAGGGAAGGGGGGGCAGGCAGCCCCGCTCTGGGGAGGGTGGGGAGGCACGACCTGTGCCCCGCTGCTCTCACTCACGTACTTTCTGGGGTTCCTAGAAAGCGAAGGGGAAGTTCGGGCTCCGAGGAGGCTGTGGGGACGCCCGGCCCTCACTTTCCACCCGACCTTCGAGGTGCTGCGGCAGGGATGTGGCAGCGGAGCCTCCGGGCCCCTTCCCGGGAACAGCGGAGCCCCCCACGCGTGGGCTGCGGGCAGGAAAGGGGCGGGGAAGGTGGGAGGCAGGGGAGGGGTCAGCAGCCAGGGTGGAGCAGCCCTGCGCTGAGGGATCCATTCTGGAGCACAGCACCCACGCTGGGACCCCCGGCCCCACCAGGAAGCAGCTCAGCCCTTGGCTGCGGTGTCAGGGAGGGCTGAGAGGAGCGGGACTTGCTGGAAAGCTGGAGGGGACCCCAAGGGAGGAAGGGGGCCCTGAGGAGGGGGGACACCGCTCCCTGGGGGGAGCACCCGTGCCCTGTCCTGTCCCGGGGGGAGGAGGAGCTGGCTGCACATCCAAGCTACCGCCCACCCCACCGCAGCTTCCCCTCCACTTCTGCAGAAAAGCTCCTGACCGCAGCGGGGAAGACCTGGCGCAAAGGCCAGGGCTGCCCCTCGGCCTGTCCTGGGGCAGCGGCACGCTACCCACAACCAGAGGAGGGAGGTGAGCAAGCCCAGAGACGCTTCATGCTCAGAAACCCCCGGGAGAGGGGAGGCTGGGGGGCAGAGCTGTCCCACAGGGGTGCAGGCAGGACCCCGGGGTGGGATGGAGCCCACCCTCACCGGACCCCTCTACAGCGCGAGCCCCCCTCAGCTGCAAGCACAGACGCAAGGCCAGGAGTAAAGGTCACAAAACTTTATACAGGAGAGACCCACACGTGGCCCCTCGGCCCCTGCTCCCCGTGGCGTGGGGGGAGCGGGACAGGCAGGGCCAGTGGCCCCAGCCCCACGGCAGCCCCCGGGGTGAAGGAGCCCGGGCGGGGAGGGCCTGCACGACTCCCCGGGGCCGGCGCTCCCCCGAAGCGGGCTCTGTGCCCAGGGGAGATGGCGGGAGCCGGTCCCGTGGCCGCTGGCACCGTGACCGTGGCAGTGCCAGGCTGTGCCTGCGCGTCCCTGGGGATGGGGTCGGCCCCCCCAGCAGCGCTGCCTCCCCAGGACTCTCCCGTGCCCGGTGGTCACAGCCAAGCCCAGGTGGCCCCGACGCGGGGACTGCGGTGGCTCCAGCTCACTGCAGCACACAGGCTTCCCGCTCCTCATCCTCCTCCGCGCCCGCTGCCTCTCCCCGCGGCTCCGGCACTGCCGGCACCTCCTCCACGGCCACCACCTTCTCCCGCAGCTCCATCAGCAGGTCGCGGCTCTCGCTGGGCGGCAGGTTGCTCAGGTAGTACTGGGGTGCCAGCTCTACCAGCCTGCGGGGATGGGGGGGGTCAGGGAGGGGTAGCCAGCCCCGGGGGCCACCCTGGAGCAGTCCCCCTGCCCGGGGACAGTCTCCCACTGCCCCCCGGGTCAGGCATTGTGCTCCCAGGCCAGCGCCAGCTCCGGAGCCACGCAGGGACGCAGCCCGGGCACGACCCATCCGAGGTCCTCACATCTGGGGCTGGATCTCCGAGACCACGCGGAGGCAGTTGTCCTGCGAGATGGTGAACTCGTGGTAGAGGACCCAGGGGGGCAGGCGCTGGGGGGGGCTGCCGCAGTAGGTAGCAGCAGGCGGGGGGCAGGTGGGCCACGTGCTTGTGCGTCAGCATCACGTAGTTGCCGGAGCCATCAATGTCCCGGGCCACCTGGGGAGCGGAGCGGGAGGGGAGCGGGGCTGGCTGGCACGACCCCCGCCCCGCGGCCGGGCCCCTCGCAGCCCCCGGGCCCACCTTGAGGAAGTAGCCGGAGATGAGCGCTCGCTGGATGTTGAGCACGTTGGCGTCGGTGCCGAAGGCGGGGGGCGAGACGGGCAGCTCGATGCGCCGCATCACGTCCAGCAGCTCTGCCCGCACGACGCCGGCCAGCCGCAGTGCTTCCCCGCTCACCGCGAGCTTGCGGCACCAGCTCTCGTCCGCGTTGTCTGGGGGAGAGGGGGGTCAGCACCGCGGGGACAGGCCTGGGCGAGCAGAGACCCCGCGCGGAACCGGGGCCTGGCTGGGCTGGGGGCTCGCGGGCCACGAAACCAGGTGCTGCCCGCCCCACAGACTGCACCCCCTCGACGCAGTGGGGACGGGAACCTCCCTCGCGGCCAGGTTGGGGTCACGAGCGTGGCTGCAGTGCGTGCTCCCCAGAGGAGCAGGGGACACGCGAGGGAGCTGTGGGACCCCGCGGGGGTATGCAGCCCACCGGCAGTCGAGCCCCTGCCCGGCACTCACGCTGCTGGAAGGCGTTGAAGATGTTGATGAGGGTGAAGTGGTCTCCGTCCGGGTGGAGCAGGGCCCGCCGGCGCACGGTCACGGCCTCCTCCACGTGCGTGGAAGGGGGCACAAAGCAGGGGGAAGCTGGGGACGGCGCAGAGGGCAGGTCACCACGTGCCCCCCAGCACTGCCCTTGCCGGTGCTGGCTCCCCGGGGGCCAGCAGCAGCGCGGGCTCCGAGCCCCTCGGCACGTACCCGTGAGCATGGCGGCCAGGCTGACCATCTCCTCCACGCAGTCGAACTCGCAGGAGGCGATGAGCGCCTTGGCCAGCTGGGGGTCCAGGGGGAACTCCGACATGATGATCCCCACCTCCGACAGGTTCCCGTCATCGTCCAGGGCGGCCAGGTAGTCCAGGTCCTCCAGCGCTTGCATCAGCGACTCGGGGGCTGGGGCAGGACGTCAGCAGGCAGCCCTGCCCACCCTCCTCCTGCACCCACAGGACCCTCCAGCCCCTCTCCAGAGACAGCCCAGGCTGCCGTGACGGCCACGGCCAGCCTCCAGCACCCCCCCGGTCGCAGCCCTCTGCTCCGGCCCCCCCGGCGCCGTGCCCAGCCCCTCTGCACCCCGCGGGCACTACCTGGCCGGTCGAGGAAGTCGCACTGGCCCATGTCGGCGATGTCCAGGCGCTTCAGCAGCAGCACGAGGCGGCTGAGGCTGGTCTCGCTGACGTGGGGCGCGGGGCTGGGGGGCAGGCGCTGCTCATAGAAGGCCTCTGAGTAGAGGCGCAGGCAGGTGCCTGCGGGAGAGGGGCTGTGAGAGGGACGGGGCCCGGGGACAGGGCGGCAAGCGCAGGCAGGGGAGCTGGAGGCGTATTTGGGGGATGCCCAGGCAGGGGGTCTCACCTGGGGGGCTGCCCGAGGCTCGCTGCATGCGTGACTCTGCCTGGCTCTTGCTGATGGGCCGCAGCACCTGGGACTCTGCCCGGATGCGGGGGTTGTAGACCTGCAGGTGAGGCCATGAGAGGGGACACCCGCAAATGAGCCCCCGCCTTCTCCCAGCCGCGTCCCCGGGGCAGCGTCCCCCAGGGCCCGGGACGGGCGGACGACGCTGCCGGCTGCGCCCCAGAGCAGAGCGAGGCCCCCCGCTCGGCGCACACTCACGCTGCGCAGCTCCAGCCCCGAGTCGATGACGAAGCGCACGGTCCCGAGAGAGAAGGACGAGTCCGCGAGCCAGTGGGTGACCACCACTCGCCTTTCTCGGCCGCCCTCCTCCAGCGCCTCGTACACCTTCTGCGCCGCGCGGCCCACGCCAGGGTGCAGGGGCAGGACCAGCAGCGGGCCCAGCCCCGGGTTCAGCGCCACGGCCTCGGTCTGGATGGCCCCACAGCACTCGGTGATCTCCTGTGGGGGAGGACACACAAGTGATGCCCACGGACACCCGGAGCGGCCCCATCCCCAGGACAGGGCGCTCCGCTGTGCCCTGCGGGGAAAGACCCCCGGCCCCTCGGCAGAGGAGCCCCAGCTCCTGCAGTTGAATCCCCCGCAGCCCTCAGGACTCCCCGCACACGGCTGAGAGGGATCTCCCAAACCTCCCATCCCACTCGGGAGCCCAGCCGCGGGGCGCCCGCAGCCCACCTGCTCACTGGCCAGGAAGAGCAGGATGTGGCCGGGCTCCTGCCGCCGGTGGATGTCCAGCACAGCCTGGCAGGCAGCCGCGACGCGCCCACGGGCCGGTGGGTCCCTGTAGAGCAGCTGGGGAGGGGTCCCTGGCCCCGGCACCCGCACCACGGGGGGGTCCCCGCAGAAGGCGCGGAGCCGCTCCTCCATGGCCGGCGAGGTGACCACCACCACCTTCAGCGCGGGGCGCTGGCGCAGCACGTCCTTCAGCAGCCCCAGCAGCACGTCGGTGGGCACCGTCCGCTCCTGCGCCTCGTCCAGCACCACCACCCCGTACTGCCGCAGCAGCGGGTCCGACGTCATCTCCCGCAGCAGCATCTCGTCCGAGCAGTACCTGCCGCGGGCCGGCCCCTTCAGCGTGGGGACCCCCGGCGCTGCGGGCTGCACCCCCGCAGTGGGAGCACGCCTCGCCCCCTCCCCACCCCAGCCCCACTTCATCGCTCCCCCGACGAGGCCAGGCTGGATTAAGAGATTACTCTGCGGCCGGGGAGCTCAGCGGGATTAGAGCGCGGCACGAGCAGCTCTCCCATCACAGGCAGCCCGCGGGGGCCCCCGGTACCTGAGGATGGTCTCGGTGGTGCAGCAGTCCTCGTGGGGGACGCAATAGCCGACCTCGTGGCCCAGGTTCAGGTCCATCTCGTCCGCCACGCGCAGGGAGAGGCTTGAGGGCGGCCAGGCTGTGGGGCTGGGTGCAGGCCACCAGGCCGTGGGCGAACTGCAGGGACAGGGCGTACTCCGCGCACCACTGTGGGATCTGCGGGGACAGAACGCCGGTCAGGGCCCGGGGACAGCGCGGGCCCCGGGCAGAAGTGCCGGGACATTCCCCTCCCCATCGTGGAGCAGCGCCCGCTCTGCCCGCCCCGAGAAGGGCAGGGGGACCCTCCCCACAGCAGCCCCCTGAGATCCAGCCGTGGGATCTCCCGCACCAGAGGCCGTACAGAAGCACCCGACAGCCAGGCGGGACCTTCCCTCCCCCGTACCGTCACTCCTGAGTCCCAGTAACCTGTGTCACCAGCCCCCCAGCAGCTTCCTGCCTTGCTACGGGACACCACGGCCCCAGCTCTTGCATTAAGGACACAGGACAACAATCCTCTCTGACTCCCCAGGAAAGATGGGGCTGGGGGGGGGGTACGTGCTGCGCTGCCTTCGCTGGAGCTGCCAGCTCAGGGCGAGCCGGGCCCCCAGGTCACGCCTGCCAGGGCTTAAGAGGCATTTGGACAATGTCATTAATGAGCTTTAACTTCTGGTCAGCCCTGGAGCGGGGAGGCAGCTGGACTAGGCGATGGCCAACAGCGCCCAGACCTCAGAGCAGCCGCAGGTCCGGGGCAGGGGCTCGAGCGTCCTCGCGCGGGGCCAG